GATTTGAACTATGTAAATGTTATGATAGAGATCCCCGAGAAGGAGGGAGAGTTGGAACAGGGCCGGCAGTTGGGAGAGAGGCTTTTTGTAAGATGCTTTTCTTGGGAGGCACTCAKTGAGAGCCTAAGCCCGCCACTCACTTTTCACAGACTAGTTCACAGGCAAAAGGCTGACAGGCTGCAAGGAGAAAGAAAGAACTTGCTATGGAATCAGGGCAATAAACAGTATGGTGGCAGCCCTGAACCCTCTTTTTTTTTTTTTAATTTGTTCTTTTTGGATATACATAGCAATGGAAGGTATTTTGACATGTTATACATATATGGAGTATGACTTCCCATTCTTGTGTTTGTACATAATGTGGAATTTCGCTGGTCGTGTATTCATACATGATCATAGGAAAGTTATGTCCAAGTCATTCTGATGTCTTTCCTATTTTCATTCCCTCTCCCTTCCCTTCATTCCCCTTTGTCTAATACAATAAACTTCTACTCCCCCCAAAAACAAACAAACAACAAAAAAATAAATAAATAAATAAATATATATATATATATTTTCTGACTCAACTAGTAAAATAATGTAAGTCTGAAAATCTGTAAAAAAAAATAATTATAAGGAGTAGACTGGGAAAAATGAAGTGGGTTAGGAGAAAGGTGGTCAGGAAGTCTTTTTGTTTGTTTAGTTTTTTTGTTGTAGATGATGTTGTTTTGGTACTGGAGACTGAACCCAGGGGCACTTTACCATTGAGCTATCCTGTTTTATTTTTATTTTGAGACAGGGTGTCTCTAAATTTTCCAAACTAGCCTCAAACTTGCAATCCTCTTGCCTCAGACTCCCCAGCCATGTGCCACCGCACCTGGTGCCTTTCATTTTTTAACTCTACATAGTTTTATACTTTCTAAAAATTGTTTTTGTGGTATTTCCACAACTGCATACAAGCATCCACTCGTCAAATCCAACCATACTTTTTCTACTCTACCTGCACCCTTCCCAATCCCCAGTAATCATTATTCTATTTTCATTTATTACTCTGGTAATTAAAAATAAATTAAAACATTAAGTTACATAAAAAAGGAAAAGGAACAGCTTCTGCAATCATTAAAGTTAGAATCTTCAGGACAAAGTGACTAATGGTTACCTTTAAAATCCAATATTTAAATTCAAGATAATAATTACAACCTATGGCTCAATTTTCCTCAACAGGCCATGGAAGAAAGTCAAGGAAGAAAGTCAATGGGAAAAAAGTTATTAAATAAAAGACATCTTAAAATTAAAAAGTTGTTCTCACAGCTGGGCAAAATAGCACACGCCTGTATTCCCAATGGCTAAGGAGGGAGAGGCTGGAGGATTACAAATTCAAAGCCAGCCTCAGCAATTTAGCAAAGGTCTCAGCAACTTAGGGAACCCTGTCTCAAAAAAAAAAATAAATAAAAAGGGCTGGGGATGTGGTTCAGTAGTTAAGTGCCCCTGAGTTCAATCCCCAGTACCACACACACACACACACACACACACAAAAGTTGATCTTATAGAAGTAGAGAGTCAAAAAATAGCTACTAGAGGATGGGAAGGAGGAGGAGGGATCGAGAGATGGTAATTTAGTACAAGGTTATAAGTGGATAAGAGAAATAACTTTTAATGTTCTAAAGCACATTAGGTAATTGTGTTTGATGACAATTAATTGTATAATTTAAAATATCTAGTAGAAAGAATCTTAAATGTTCTCAGCACAAATGGTAAATGTGTCAGGTGACAAATATGCCAATAACCCTAATATGATCATTATACATTGTACTGATACATTGAAATATCACACTGTACTCTATAAATATGTACAATGATGATGTGTCAATTAAATATGTAAATAATTTTTAAAGAGAGACAACTTGGATAGTTAGCCTTAAGTATAGCTGGAGAAGTTCTACCAAATGTCCTATAGCCATGGAGTCTTCCTTGATACTGGGGAATACCAGTATAACATGCTTTGTTTTAAGTCTTCCTGGTATTCACTATATAGAAATTTGGCTCTGTTTATTTGCAGAATTTATTTTCAACTTCCTAACTCAGGAGGATAAAGTTTAGATTAGCATGTTTCTTTTCTCCTTTATTAASCAAGAGACAAACACAAAAATTAAAATGTCAGAATAACTTTAAATGAAGAATATGGGCAAAATGTCAATGGCATATAATAAAGAATGTAGTAAAAATATTTTTAATAATTCAAATGTTTATTCCAGGTGTCATTTTTGCATATCCTCTATAACATGTCTAGTACAGTGTGAATTTTTAAAAATAGATAAACTCAGAAATTTATGACATTTTCAAAATGAATTATCTTAGTTCATTCATTTAACAGTATATGGGTCTCTGGTGATTCCATGATGAAATATCAAATGCTCTAGAGAGTTGTACCGATACCAAATGACAACAAAAGTTTAATATAAAAGCTATACTAGCTTTCAGATGCTATCCAGAAATAAAATGGGAGTGACCTAAGCTAGCTATCAAACCTGTGGAGAAGATACAGAATTTTAGTTAATAATACACTCTTAAAAAAAAAAAAAAGAGTCAACTTATGCCCAGTACAGTGATACATGCCTATAATCCTAGCAATTCAGGAAGCTGATGCAAGAGGATCTCAAGTTGAAGGTCAGCCTGGGCAACTTAGTGAGACACTGTCTCAAAATAAAAAAGGGGTGACTCAGTGATAGAGCCAATGATATAAGGCTGCATGGAAAAAATAAAGAGGGGGAGCTCTTAGGAAGTAAGAATTTCACTACATTCTACATAGGTCAGAATATACCTGAGGAAATGCATTCAGACCAGGATATCACCTTCTAACATGTACACTGATCATCAGTGACAAGCACAAAGCCTTTAGTAAGGCTGAGCACTGAAGCAAGTCAGTTTGAGAGGAACTGGAGCCAGGAGAGGATTTGAAAACTAAATCATAGGACAAATAGGTCAAGAATTAGGACAGTTAAGTCTGGTTGCAGGCTTGCAGCAGGGAGAGAAAAATAAAGGAAGATAACATAATTAGTTTTAAACACGTAATGATTTCTAAGAAGTAAATTTCACTAAAAATTAACCAAAAACTAAATGAGCATTCATAAAGTTTCTTATAGCCTAAAAAGAAACTATTTAATCCTGCCATTTTCTTACCACCTTTTTACCCCAAAGTTCTTAAAAGGATAGTCCATACTCACCGTCTTGACTTCCTAAAGTCTTTTCAGGAAAACTGGCAAAATGTTGATAATTACTGAAGCTAGATAATGGGTTTAAGTGGGTTTATAACAACTTTCTCTAGTTTTCTACAGCTTGATAATCTTCATAACTAACTTCAATAATAAAAAAGAGATTATTCACCAGGCATGGTGGCACGTACCTATTATCCCAACTACTGTGGAGGCTGAGGCAAGAGGATCACAAATTTGAGGCTCACCTTGGCAACTTAGCAAGACTCTATTCAAAATAAAACAGCTGGGAGTTTAGCTCAGTGGTAAAGCACCCCTGGACTCAATCCCCCACACTGCCTAATAATAAAGAGAGAGAAAATTATTCAACTCATAGCTCCTTTCAGTTTTCAACTAACTTTAAGCTAGACTCCACGTCTACCCCTAATAAATTTGCTTTTCAAGACTACCATTGACCTGTTAATTATCAAATTCCTTTTTCTGCCTCTCCCAAACTCTCAGCAGCATGTGATACCATTGCCCAAGACCACCTTGAAATTCTTTTTATGTTAGCTTAAGAAAACCATTTCTTTGATTCTGTCCCTAACCCTGTTTGCTCTGATTTTCTTGTTCTACTGTTCATGTTCTTTTTTTTTTTTTTTTTCTGGTGGTGCTGGATATTGAACCCAAGGTGTTATGCATGCTAGGTAAGCACTCTACCAACTGAGTTATATCTCCAGCCCCTGTTCATGTTCTTATTACTCTTATTACTCTCCTTTGTCTATTGTTCTCCTTGGATAATCTCATTTACTCCACTACCACTATCTATCTATGTGTCTATAATGGTAATGTCAGTATTCAGTCACTGTCCCAAACTTCCCATGCTAAAAATAAAAACTGTGTCGTCATCATAAATTGTCCATGTTTCTGATTGCTATTTCAGATAACTGTATCACCATTCAGTCTCTTAAGATAGAAATTTTGGAATTATCTTTAATTTCCCTTTTTTTTCTTCCTCATGTCTTCATTGTACCAGGTATTAAATCTCAGAGTCTGTATCTGAGATAGTCCATCCTTGATAACCATGGTTCAAGTTTAGACTCTCAATAATTACCTGAATTAAAGCAAAGATATTCTAATGCTGTCTCTGCCTTTGATCCAGTCCATTCTCAATATAACCCTCACAGTCATCTCCCAGATAAACAAAGCTAATTACATTACCCTCTGCCTAAAAACTTAGGGATGTCTCATTGTATAAAAGTACCCTTCATTATCTGGCTCCACAAATGCCCAAGAGGCTCATGCACACTCCTTGTATGTATAAGAGACACCAAACTTTTCATTTTTTTCTGAAAACGTCATACCATTTCATCATGGTGCCTTTAAAACGTGCTGTTTCCCCTACTTGACATGTCTTTCCCAAACTTTCCATCTGGAAAACTGGTATTACACTTCAAAGTTCAGATTCCTCATTGGGGATTTTCCTTGTCATTCAATCATTCAACAAAAAAATGTGCTGTTACACTTATCAATATGTCATAAACTGTCACCCTAAGAACCCGCACTCTCATTTATGTTCTTTCAGTGCTTTGTTCATACTGCAGTAATTATACTCACCATATTATACCATAGTTACATGTCTCTTCTCTCAGTTGGATCATGATATATTTGAAGGTATGGCTCCTGTCCAATTACTCTTTACGTATCTAGGATGCTGATTTTGTTCTAAACAAATCAGTTTATCTCTAGATTATTACTAGAGCTAAAGAGTAACAAACAATGAGTATTCCAATTTTTAGCATTATTAKCCAAAACAAATAGCTACATACTTACCTCATGGGTCCATAGTTCAGTATTACAAATGCCAATACTATCATGACACAGATAGCTCTTCGCTTTGGACTAGGGACTTTAAGCCTCTGGTTCTAAAGGAAATGACCATATGAAATACAATTAAACTACACATCAATCTCACAAAAAACATTATCTAAAAAAAAAAAAAACACCTTTCCTCTTTACTAGCTATATGAATGCCTTTTCTTATTTAAAAATAAAAACAAAACTGAAAAGTTGAGAAAATAGTTCTTTTTGAAATACTGAAGTAGAGCCTTCCAAGATTTCTTTTCCAAAAGAGAGAAGTCAAAGAGAAACAAATAGAGCAGAGAATTCAATAGTTTTATATTTTCATGAATCCCCAAAGAATTTTGAGACACTTCTGTAGTCTGTCTCCCTGTCTTTAAAATCACGGTTTTCACCAATGCACTGGAGTGTTACCATGTGCTCAGGCATTAAGATAGAAAGAACAATATAAGAAATCCCACTAAACAGGTATCTATTTGGTTCAGAACTCCACTGCAGTGGGAAATCCTAAGGCAGCAGACTTACGAACAGAACTGAGGAGAGATGATTAACCCTGGGACAAGCATGACAACCGAAGGCAAAAAGCAGTGCAGGCAGTCAGAGAAAAGATAACATTTTATTTTATTTTATATTTTCTTTTTTAAAAGGGAAGCCCTCATAGGACTATCCAGGAGTCTCAATCTGATTCACTTAGTCAGGAGTATAGAAGGTATTAAGGTAATGAATGAGTTAGAAGAAACCCAAGAAAAGTAGACTTGTAAATAGATTGGGAAGTACAGTTCAAAAGATTATCTTTCAAATTTTTTATCCTTGCTGAAAAATGTTTTTGGACTTATCGTACCCTTGTTTTCCTGGCACTATTGTTTTATATCACTTAAGATGTAAAAGTTTATTAATTTATAAGAAAAAACAACTTTAACCCATCTTAGCAAGCTCCATCACACTCACCTCTGATACAACTTCGTCCAATTGCCGTTTCAGTGACCCATTCTCTTTCTTCAGTTGCTCATTCTCTGAAAGGGCAGCCTTTAATCTAGCCTCTAACCCTAGCATATATTCTTTCTTTTTCTTGCGTGACTGACAAGCYGACTCTCGATTTTTTATCATACGTTGCTGCCTCCTTAGCACAGCAATCTAGGAAAAGTTAGGAAAAATCAGAATACTATGATTTCAGAATCAGATCAAAATAGATTAGGATATATTGATTTAAACAATTATTTTTAAACAACTGTGCTTAAAACTATATCTTAAAATAGCTTTTAAAATGTACTGTTCAAACTAAGTAAATAAAAATCAAAAGATGAAACAAGGCTTTTGGGAACCTAAATGTTAAATAATTTCTTCTGAAGTGTTCCTAAAGCTTATTTATTGATCTTCCAATTTTCTCTTTAGACACTCCCTTAGAAAGTTCCTTTAAATACATAAGCATACACAGTCACTCCTCAGTATTCATGGGGAGCTTGTTTCAATACTCCCCAGTTACCAAAATCTGCAGATACTCAAGACCCTTATATAAAATGGTTTAGTTTCTGCATATAACCTACTCACATTCTCTTGTATATTGTAAACCATCTCTGGATTACTTATTATATCTAGTATAATGTGTAAGTAGCCATTGTACCATATTGTTTAGGAAATAATAACAAAGAAAAAAGTCTATTTATGTATAACACAGAAATAATATTTTTCCTTAATGTTTTCTATCTCAGTTGATTAGATCAACTGAATATGGAACACAAAGATACAGAGGACCAATGATATATAAATCTTTAATCAACATCTCCATCCCTAAATTAATTGACTATGCTCCAAAGCCATATATCCAATTACCTATAAAACTACTTCTACTTGTAGAATCCAAATTCAGTATGTGAAAAGTGAACACATTTCCCTCTACCTAGATTTTTAAAAAATCTATCCATCTTCTATCAATAGTATCTCTCAAAATATAAAGGAGGAAATGATCATTATTATATCTTTTATTCTCTATATTCATTCCCACTCCCAATCCCTCATTTACTCACCAAATAATGTGTGAAATATATGTTAATGACCAACTTTCTTCCAGTAAATATGTGTCTTAGTTATCCCTTCCTATTTTCCACTAACATTCTCTTAACACAGGCACTCACTAACTTACCCAGACTACTGCAATAGATGCCTATTTGAATTGTCTTTGGTTTTATCTTGTCCACCAATTCTAAAACAACCCTCCAAATGTTTATCTTACCAACCCATTGCAAAGACAAGCTATTCATACTTCCCAGCTACCCACTTTTATTTTCAAATCCTTCCCTAAYGTGATCACTCCCTACCTAAGGATGCTTTTTGCCCTAACTATACAACCATTCATGCTACATCCTTCAATCTTCTCATTTAAGGCTACTTAATAATCTCCTCCATGTCTAAATGATTTCTTTATTCATACTGTTTATTCCTATTTGGGATGTCATCTCCTCTACTGACTTTGTTCTAARGTCCCTCTAAATTCCAATTATCCTTATTTGATATTTAAATTTTCTCTGAACATCTTATTCCTTATTATTTGGAAGATACACCAGAACACTCCAATGGTCTCAACTATTTTAAGAATGTTCACTTTACCTAGCTTTTCAACCTTGGAAACCAAAACTATGTCTGATACTACTTTTTTGTTTGATACCCACAATATCTRCCATAATAAAAACTAATTGAACCAAGTTATTTTTGTTAAGTTTTCTAAACTAAGTTATAGAAACCATTATAATAACATTATAAGGGGCAAGGAGATTAAGGGAAAGAGGTAACAAAATTAAATCCATAAAAAAGCACCAGAGAATAATATTTAAATTGATTAGTGTTAAGTATACAGATGCCTAAAATATTGACGTCTATGTACTTTGGAATGGACTTTAAAAAATAAATATCCTACTGTGGGGTGTTCCATAACTCAATCAGTAAATTTAAAAATTTCATATAAATTTGTTTTAAAATAGTAACACAATTCCCATCCAAATACATTTCCTAGAAACAGGTATGCCAGAACCAATCATGTGATCTCCCATCACCAAGTACTGTCAACAATCTCTCAATCATAACCTACAAGAAATGTTATATTAAGTATCAAAAAAGGGTGTCTTTTTTCTTTTTTAACTTCACAAGTGTGCTAATTATATGATTACAACCATCATCTATAAAAATTTCCCCTGGGTAACAACTATACAACTATCCCACTCTTCAATAATGTTCTTTCTCTCTCTCTCTCTCTCTCTCTCTCTCTCTCTCTCTCTCTCACACACACACACACACACACACACACATATACACACAGAGCAGCAGCAAGCCATGATGGATTGATTATTCACCAATTTCAAACTATTCTCTGGAAAATACCACTCTGTTCAGTCTAATGTTATTTTTAGTTATTGTCATTATTCCTGAGAATGCCAGTGTCCATAATTAATACTTAATAACAGAGTGCTGAAGTACACAGAGCACTGAACAAGTACACAAAAAAGAAGGTTCCAGATGGAAGAGTTCATACTAAAAGTTAGGTCAAAGGTAACCTGTTTTTAAAGGTCACATAACCTATGGAATCTGGGGAGGCATACAGATGGCACACTGTTTAATAAATTTCAAACAAGAATTGGGTATTTCTACAAACAAGAAAAGAACCTGCATATTATGCAATACTCAAGTTTTAAAGGTTGTCAATCCATATGCTTCTTACCAAGAAAAAAAWGAAAGAAAGAAAACCACCCATGGTCAAATATTCATTTTTCACACAGAAAAAGATTCATTATAATAGTCCTGAAATTACTCAATAAACAAAAAAAAAAAAAACAGAAGGGAAAGGAAAACCACAGGAATCAAAGAATATAGGCTTCCAACTTCATTTCTAGCAACCTATGTTCAATTATCCGAATAAACATTAAATTATTAAAAAAAAGTTATATGATATTTTTAGACTAAACACTTATGTACTGTGTGATGTTGCTGGAGGAGAGAGTTATTTCACTCTACAAGAAAAAAAGGACTTTTTTTTTTTTTTTGGTGGGGAAGGGGGAAACAGGGATAGAATCAAGGGCACTTGACCTCTGAGCCACATCCCCAGCCCTATTTTGTATTTTATTTAGAGACAGGGTCTCACTGAGTTGCTTAGCACCTTGCTTTTGCTGAGGTTGGCTTTGAACTGGAGATCCTCCTGCCTCAGCTTCCCAAGCAGCTGGGATTACAGGCATGTGCCACTGCGCCAGGCTACTCTGTAAATTCTGTTTGGTAAACTGATTTTTGCACATATGATGCATCATAATCATCTCTGGCATGCAATGAGAACAGCACTATAGGATTTCTATTATTTTGACATTTCATAAAATATTTAAATCATCTCCATTTGTTGAAATTACTACAGTTTTTAAAATTCCTTAAAATAAGACTCATTATTGGATTTACTGTTAGAGAGTAGAAGGGCCAAGGTTAAAGGTCAGTTCACTCCAAGCCCAAACGTACTTATACAATGGTTCCATGCTGCTTTTTTTTTTTTTAATTGCTTTTATTTTTTAAATACATGACAGTGGAATGCATCACAATTCTTATTACACATACATACCACAATTTTTCATATCTGTTTGTATATAAAGTATGTTGACACCAATTCATGTCTTTTTTTTTAAGAGAGAGAGACAGAGAGAGGGAATTTTTTAATATTTAATTTTTTTTTTAAGTTTTCGGCGGATACAACATCTTTGTTTGTAGTGCTGAGGATCGAACCCGGGCCACATGCATGCGCACTACCACTTGAGCCACATCCCCAGCCCCCAATTCATGTCTCCATACATCTACTTTAGATAATGATATCCATCACATTCCACCATCATTGCTAACTCTCTGCCCTCTCTCTTCCCTTCCCACCCCTCTGCCCTATCTAGAGTTATCTATTCTTCCCATGTTCCCTCTCCCTAACCCACTATGAGTCAGTCACCTTATATCAGAGAAAACACTCACCATTTGTTTTTTTGGGATTGGCTAACTTCACTTAGCATTATCTTCTCCAACTACATCCATTTGCCTGCAAATGCCATGATTTTATTCTCTTTTATTGCTGAGTAATATTACATTGTGTATATATGCCCCTTTTTAATCCATTCATCTACTGAAGGGCATCTAGGTTGGTTCCACCGTTTAGCTATTGTGAATTGTCCTGCTATAAACATTGATGTGGCTGTGTCCCTGTAGTATGCTGTTTTTAAGTCTTTTGGGTATAGACAGAGGAGAGGGATAGCTGGGTCAAATGGTGGTTCCATCCCAAGTTTTCCAAGGAATCTCCATACTGCTTTCCATATTGGCTGCACCAATTTGCAGTCCCACCCAGAATTTAGCAGTGTGCCTGTTGAGAGCCACAGCTGAAGGGGCCCCAGCAAACTTCCAGCTGCCAGCAAACTTCCAGCTGCCAGCTGATGATTGGCTCACAGCAGCCCTAGCAAACTTCTAGCTGCCAACTGATTGGCTCCTCTGCGGTGATGCTCATTGGGCTGTTTCCCTGCCCTTTCAGACCACAGAGCTGCTCATTGGGGGACTTTTTTTGGCTCTGCCCA